GGTGAATTGAAGAAGGGAAACAGTGGAAGAAAGATCAACTCAGAGGCTATTAGAGGTGCTCCAGGCAAATGGTGAAGGCCTGGATTAGTGTGGTAGCTATGTGAGCAAAGAAAAGGGAGTGGATGCAAGAGATATCAGGGAGGTAAAATTGAGAGAAGATACAATTGCTATGTGGGATAAGGAAGAAGAAAGAGTCAAGGATGAATCTGAGGTTACAAACCTGAGTGACTGGAGGGGACAGAAACAAAGAATTCTGGAGGAGGGGAAAACTTATGGGAGAACATAATCAGTACAACCTTGGGTATGGTGAGTTTGTTTTTGAGATGCTGATAAACTATCCAGAAGCATATATCCTATATGCAGTTGGTGATACGGGACTTTAGTTAAGTAAAATGTTGTAAAGTATTTTCAAGGTATTCACTCTTTCTTCACTCTAAAGGCACAGAAATAATCACAGGGCCTTTTTAATGGTTAATAAAGTAGAAGCATTATTGTATAGCAGAACTATAACTGAACTATAACAGAAACTACAACTGTATTCTTGAATCTGGGACAAATGTACTTGCAATGAGTATGGAGAGACAGTGAATGACTCTGAGACATCCAGAGGCTATAACCATTGTCATCACCACTGATCCTCAGCCTCTTATGTTGTGAGTGTTTGCAGGCTAGTCTGCTCTGTTCCAAGTTAACTAACATTCTCTCCGCCCTCCCTATGTCAGCACTCTCAGGCAAAGTCCCAGTGGCCTTCTGTTGGTTGAAGTTCTATGTCACAGAAAAAGGGAACTTATTCTTGAAGAACTTATGAAGTAAAAGTGAAATAGTGAAGCAACCTTGTGGTTTACTTTAAAACCGACAAAATCATTAATGAATTGCTTTATTCATTTCATAATTGTTCTAGTAAAACTAATCATTTCTCCTGTTTCTTCCCTTTAAAAGACTAGTTTTTCGATATATGATCACATCTTAAACCACAAACACTCTTCATTCTGGCCCAGCAAAGCTAACCAAAGAAAATAGCTCTCTCAACATAGCTTATGTTTTTATTTTGATTCTTGACAAAGGTTAACTAGTCAGTGATTTTATAAATCTGTTAATGGATATGCTAAGATCTTTGCCAACCTTTATCTTACTTTTCTTTACTCTGTCATTCAGCTGCCACAAAAACACTATCCCATAAAATGTAGGTTGGGATTAAGGAAAATGTTATATGAGTAAAGAATAAACAAATATATCCTTTTCTTCTCAAAGAATCATTGTAAAAAACATGGATTCTGCATATTCTGCCTGCCTGTAGCAATAATGTATAAAGTCCCAGAGTGCAGAAATTGTGTTTTACTTATTCTTCCATTCCCTTCAGCACTTAGCACAGTGATTTTCCTAATAGTAAAGCACTTAATATTTGTTGAATTTGAGCTTGAATTCAAGACTGACAGAAGAATTTGGCTTCCTTCGGTTATTCGTTCACTTGTTTAATAGACAGCCTTCCAGGAGCTTATACTTTAGCAAGGCAGGAAAAAATATGTATACGCTGAAGTCCTTTCCATTGTATTCCATTATTAAAGTGAATGTTAATTAAAGAGGGACTGTCCAGTGCTTGCTTAAGAAAGCAGGTTCATCCCTGGCATCCAATGGGATGCCTTGCTGTCTGATAACTGGATAATATCAAAACACATTGTTACTTTTTGCTAATATTGATACCCTGGTTCCACTCTAATGATTTCCTTATTTAACTCTTTACCTGGTTCAACCAACACTATTCTGATGTGCTAAGTATTGAGATTTATTGGATATAAGTATATTGTAGGAAAGTACCTATGATACCTAGTGTAATACTAGATATTAGAGAAGAGAGAAGGAGGTCAGATAGCATAGGAAAAGGATCCCTAAGTTCAGAGCAGACTCTTGCAACTTGTTTAATCAATTTGTTGTTGTTGTTCAGTCATTTTCAGTCACACTTGACTCTTTCTGACCCCATTTGGGGTTTTCTTGGTAAAAATACAAAGTGGTTTGCCATTTCCTTCTCCAGCTCATTTTTTAGATCAGAAAACTGAGGCAGGCTGGGTTAAGTGACTTGCCCAGGGTCATACAGCTAGTAAGTGTCTGAGAGTCTTCCTGGCTCCAGGCTCAGCATTCTATCCACTGTTCCACTTAGCTGCCTGACTTAATCAATTACTTATATTCAAAATATAGTTGAGAATTTATATTAAAGAAGAGACACATGTATTTTAAAATTATGGAAAATAGGAATAGGGACTGGACCTGTAATTGGGAACTTCCAGATGAGGAAACACCTTCTCTCAGTGCAGATCACACTTCTGCAACTTATAGTCTTAGAGAATTCCCAAGAGGACTTGCAATTTTAAAATTATGTCAAAAGAAAATAGAAAATTATTTAAATTATTTTTTACTTCTTCACAGAATCACAGACTGTCAGACTTATAATGGACCTCAGAGGACATCTAGTCTATGTAGAAATAAATAAAAATTCTCTCTGTAATATATCTGGCTAGTTATCGGCCTCCCACCGAAAATCTTGGCCAAGGGGGTAATATACTTTCTTCTGAGGCATCCTATTCCACTTTTTTGACAGCTCTAATTGTTAGAAAGTTTCCCCTAAAACCCAATAGATAGCTGCCTCTCTACTACTTCAGATCTTTGTTTCTAATTCTGCCTTTGGGAGTCAAACAGGACAACAACCTTCAGATACTTGAATGAGCTATAATAACCTAACCCTAATACTTCTCTTCTGCAGTACAAATATATACAATTCGACTGATCCTCCTTTGGCATGATCCCCAGTCTCTTCATCATCTTCATTACCTTTCTCTGAATACACTCCATCCTACTAATGTATGTCCTTTCTGAAACGTGGAGACCAGAATTTAACAAAATACTCTAGACATACTCTGACAAAGTACAGTAGAACTATCATGTTGTCCCTGTTTTGGATACAGTGCCTCTCTTTAGTCAACTGAATATAACATTGGCTTTTAGGGCTACCTGTCACACTGTTTAACTCCTATTGAATATGCAGTCCTTTACACCTCTCCCCACCCTAAATCTGTTCTCCTTCCCTAAAATTCTTTTTGTGCAGTGGAATTATTTTTAATTCAAGTAAATTAGACTTTACATCTTTCCTATTAAAATGAATCTTATTGGATTTGGCTCAGCGTTATACCCTGTTGGATCCCAACATATTAACTATCTCTCCAGTTTCATAGCATCTTAAAATTTGATATGCACATCATTTTTGCCTTCATCTAGTCATTTTTTTAATGTGCTGAAAAGAAAGGGTGAAGGACAGGTCCTTGATAGCCTACCCTAGAATGCCTTCTAAGATAAAATCAACCTATTAACGATTATTTTTCTTTAAGTCTGGTTATTGAACCTATTCTGAATCCATCTCTAACTATATTCCCATGGAGCCCTATCTTTCCAACTGACTCATAATGATAATATGATGGATTTTGTGACTTGACTATATGAAGCTAGGTAGGTTAGCTAGGTACTTTCTTCACCTCTCCATGTTTATCTGGGTTTCAGCTCCATGTTGATCATTTTTATTCTGCCCTTCCCAGGCTAAAGGTAATTTCCTTAGAAAAGAGAACAGAAACGAAATAAGAATTGAATAATACTGCCTTCTCCTTTTGCCATTATCATCATCCCATCCATTATGAACTATTCCTTCGTTTTCTTCCTAACTCTAATATCGCTTCCTGGAGGTACTAAGAGATTAAGTACCTTGCCCATAGTCACATAGCTGTTACCTATCAGAGGCAGGGCCAGAATCTAGGTTTTCCTGACTCCAAGACTGGAACCTCTTTTGACTATGACATGCTGCTTCTCTAAACATTTTAATTTTTTGTTTAATTGATGAATCTGTTACTGTGGCTTAATCAAAACATGTGATAAGTAAGTTTAGAGTTCAAAAAAATTAATTCTTATAATTCCTTAATTATTTGATTATGAATGAGGAATAACAGGAGGTGATAAGGGTTGGATATGTCTTAGATGGCTTTAGATATCTAAGAACAAAGCCTTGTTTCAGATTGATAGCACTTGGAATGTTCCTTTGTACTTTTTTCTATTTGCTTCTTGATTTTTTCGACATATGGTAAGAATTTGCTAGTCATACTTCTCCTTTGCTTTACCACATTATTACTTTTAAAGGGAATTCTTCAGATTGAAGATATAAATGGGATGTGAAGGGAAAAAAATCATCCATTTCAATTGATTTTGTTCCATTATATAGAGTAAAAGGTAAATTCCTAAATTACCATTCCTCATCTAAAATTAAAATATATATATTAAATAGTAATGTATAATAAGAATGTGTATGATTGCTAAACATCCCTTTTTACCTTATCCTATTTGATCTTCGTCTGACATTTGCCTACTCTATTATAAATCAAAGGTTGTTATAGAAATAGATGATATGTGATAACAAATTATTAATAACGTATGACAAATTATTATATACTGATGATATATAGAAACAAATAAAGATTCATCTCTGCTTTTGAAATGTGTCTAAAAACCTACTTTCCTACTCAAAATGGAAGTAGGAACTTCTTTTTTGCAGCCAATGAACTTTTGGCAAGCACAGTAGACTCTTAAAGGTTATTTTTCAGCCACCTGTCCAAGTGGTAGGTGTTTTTATATGTAACAGGTAAGGAGGAAGATTGTCTCTGTAGCTATCTTACTATTCAAGTTGTGCCAGCAAGCTTTGCAGATGAAATGTATTTTTCCCTTGTTTCTTTATATCAGACTGCTTTATTAATCAAAAGTAGGCTGGAATTAAGTAGTGCTAATATTTTCTCATTCATGTGTTAAATACTGATCAGAAGAATACCTCCCCTTTATTTATTTCACTGCCTCACATTTATTTAACTGTTAAGCAGTACAGAACAACACAGAATCCTCCATAGCACCCATCCCCACCATATTAACATCATTTTGATTGACACTTGTCTGTTTTGTTTCCTTGCTTGCTTTAGGATGACTTTGAGCTCTTTTCTGATGACTCTGAAGCCGTTGGGCCTGCTGCAGCATCAGAAGTGATTCGCTATGAGTATCATGTCTTGTATTCCTGCAGCTATGGAGTACCCGTGCTGTACTTTAGGGCAAGCTTTTTAGGTAAGACCACACCTGAAATGAAGAGTACATTCTTAACATTTAGATAAACTAGAGGGAAAAGATTTTGAAAGTAATTATTTAGAAAGTCACAAATATTCCTAAAAATAAGACAACACTGTGGGTGAGGTAAGGTTTTACTGGTAAATTTCCTCATGCTTCAGAAAGAATGAGTATCAGGACTTCGGAGTGGATGATATCATCTCAGCCTGAAAAAGTCTGATGTTCAGATTGTTGGCATTCCGCCCGTGGTTGACTAAGCCTCCTGGCCATTTTTCTTTTCTGTACTTTAAACAAGTAGAAACAACTTAAAGCTACAACGTTTAACTATAACTTTATGGACGAAATGCTTTGTAGCCCAAATTATTTAATAAACCTAAAAGCAAACAATGCTTTTATTTATTTCATTAATTTCAGTGATTATCAATTTGTTTGAGTGATATTTTACAATATCTGCTAACTTTCTTCCCCCCTCCAACCTCCATGTCAATATAACTAGTAACTCAATGCCCAGCTACCTCTACTGCTATTACTTAACTCACTCCCCTGCCAGGAGGGTGGAATATACTGTCTCCTCAGAGGCCTCTCTTAATAAAGCTTACTTAATCAGCAGCCATGTGGACTTTCCATCCTGCAACATTGCCTTCACTCCTTCCTGGATATCCACAGACTAAACAGGTCAGCCATGTGGTATACCTAGTAGAAGGAAAGGAAGGATTCATCCCTCCATCTCTAACAGCCACCCTCCTTCACCACCCCCCCCCCATTTGCATCTTGCCTGGCAATATCAGGAGTATTTTGCATTTTGAGCAGCCTTCTGACTTCTTTTTTTTTCTGAATAGCTAAGACATCTGAATTTAGCCAGTGATATTTTATTTTTAATTAAAAAGTAGCTTAAGTTGCTTTGAATGTGTGTTTGGTAGATTTAATCACTTGCTGCCTTATATTGTTTAATGGTCTCTAATTTTGCAGTGTTGGCGTTTTAACAAGCACTTAGGATTTAAAACAGGAGAACAAATTCTCATAGACTCCCTGGTGAGAAGATTTTAATCTGAGGTGCAGTTTCTAAGAAGTGACAATTTGGGGTAAATTTTCAACATGGGACATGGGGAATTGAGGCCACAATAAGAGTTCACTAATTCACAAGACTCCATGCTGCCGAGTTACACTTATGGTTATTACAATCATTTAAAATGCTCACCCTGTTGTAATTATATTTGAGTTGTAGTCAAAAGGTTAGAGAAGCTTTCTTGTCAGTAAGTTGTGCTACCTTGCAGTGGGAAGAGAAGATAAATGTATTTAGTGGGGAGAAATGGCTCTTTTCTGCATTTAGTTGCCCTGCTCTGGATGCGCTTTCTGTATTCCTGAGAGTGCGGGGGCTGCAGCAGGTAAAGGAAGTAGGGCGCTGTTGCCACAGTACTGTACTTCCATGTAATTAGTATTCACCATAAGCAGTTAATCACCAGAGAAGAGCTCCCAGAGACAAAACAAGTTGTTTAGCTTGTCAGCATCGGGGAATCGGAGGTGTTGAAACATGACTGCTTCTAGCTGGAAGTGGGGATTGCAGAAACTGGTGGCTGAGCTCACGCTCCCTCCTCCCTGTGACGTGCCAACAGCTCCCCTTACAGTGCACGAGAGTAAGTGTTCTTGCAAGTACCATCGCATTTTTAAATTATATTTTTTACGCTTCCTCAGACCTTTCACAATTATATTTTTCTGTTTCCTAGAACAAGATGAGGCTTCTTGGTTTCTCATTATGTACTTTAAAAATGCCCTTCAGTTATGTCTAATAGGAATGAGCCATTTAAGTAATTTATTTGGAAGTGTTCTCTTTTTTGTTCTGCAGAGCACAGGATAGCTATTAGTTATCTTCCATTCATTTCAAAGTATTTATTTAGTGTTTATGCAGATACCTGAAATGTCTATTTTTTTTTTATTTTTACAAAGCATTTAGTGTGTTTTGTCTTGGAGAAATATTGAAGAAATACTCATTCCCTTTAGCATATGTAAATAATTTCTTCTTTCTCCTCAACCTTGCCTAACCTGAAGATCAGTCTGGGGACTATTCTAAAAATGGATTGCCCTTTAGTCTGGAATCCTCATTTTTAAATCATATCAGTCTGTTTATGTTTCTGAGTTAACTGATTGCTGCTGCTCCATGCATCCTTTTGTTTAGCATATAGGGGAATAACCTTCTCTGAAACCTCCAAGGTGGCCACCATTCCTTCCCCTACTGCCTTCCTTTTATGAGAAGCCAAGATTTTTTGTGTATCCTGTACTTGAGAACTTAAACCTAAAACTAATTAGTATAGCTATCAAACCTCCAGTATAGCAGTTCATTTTTTGGTGTAATAGATCATTCATTGCATCTCAACCTTTAAGGTGCAAATGTTTGAAATTTTTCTTGCATCTAATTGTTAGTACGATAAAATGATCCTATTTTCTCTGGATATTTCTCCATATTCTTGGCAAAATGTCCAAATGTTCATATATGTTAAGTCTATCACAAACATATATTGGTACACATCAAATAGATTGGATTATAGAAGAAATCATTATTATGACCCCCTTTCTACTAATCCCAACAGAAGTTGCTTTTGTAGTTTGTTAGTTTTCATACAATTATATGAAGCTTTGAAAGACTGAATTACTCTGGGAAAGATGATAACCTGAAAGGTTTCATCTGAGTCCAAATCCCTCTAAAACAGTGGTTCTTAACCCAGGGTCCGCAGACTCAGTGAACCTGAATGTAAAAAAAAAAATAACATCTTTGTTTTCATTAGCCTCAAACTGAAATTTAGCATTTTTTCCATTACTTAAAAACATTCTGAAAAAGAGTCTATAGGTTTCAACAAATTGCCAGAGGGGTCCCTAACACAAAAAAGATTAAGAGCCCCTTCTCTAAAGCCAACACAAGAATAATAATAATAATAAAATAATACCAAGTAAAAGGATCCTGAAATGAGAGAGGTAAGCTAAGAGGAGAAACTAGCCAGGTCATACACACACACACACACAACATAATAAAGGATGATCCAGGCTATAAACTGTGAATCTGAGCCAGTACTTGGCAGACTCCATCTTCCTCTCACATCTAGAATGTAGGAGGAGACAGGATAAAGAGAACAGGATCCCTGCCTCACAGGGACTAAAGATTCCTGTTCAGAACCTTGTTTCTGTTACCCTATGGCTTCATTCACAATTCTTGTGACTGCCTAGATCAGGGGTGGGGAGCCTGCAGCCTCGAGGTCACATGTGGCCCTCTAGGTCCTCTAGTGCAGCCCTAGTGAAGCCCTGACTTTGATTCAACCACATGTGGCCTCAAGGCCACAAGTTTCCCACCCCTGGGATCAAAACCCTTCTGTGCGTGTGTGTATGTGTGTGTGTGTGTGTACACATATACATATACATACACATATCAGTGTGTATGTGTATGTATATATGTACGTATATGTAAAATCCTCTGTTATCTCCTTGAAGGGAGGGACTATCTTACTCTTGTATTTTTAACTGGAACACCTGCCATGGTGCCTGGCACGTAGCAGATGTTGAATAAATACTTGTGGATTGACTGCTTGATTGATCCATTGAAATGCTAGCTATCACAATGACCAGAAAAGGAAATTGAGAAAATAAACATAAGAAAAGGAGGCAAAACTATCTCTAGTTTCAGATGATATGATAGTTCACTTAAAGAATCCTTGACATAAAGTGAGACCTGTTGAATGTATCAGTGAAAAGATCATTGGTAATGATGGAGAAAGTAGTTTCACTTCAGTGATGAGATGGGAAGCCAGATTTCAGAGGACTGAGTTTTCTAAAAGGATGAGGGAGGTGAAAGGAGAGGTGATAGAGGCACCAAATATGGATTTTTTTTGAATAAGTTTAGCTGAAAAAGGAAGTAGAGATATAGGACCACAGCGCAAGATGTTAAGATCTAGTGAATTTTAAAATTTTCTCTTTTTTTTATTATGAATTTTAAAATCAACAGATATGGATATTTCCATATTCAATTAAAAAAACAGAAAAAGAAAAAGAATTGTATATGAGACCACGAATCTCTATTTTGTACATCTAATTTTTTTAAAGTATATATTTTATAATTTTATTTAATTTTATAAAGTATATAATATATATATATTTTAAAGTATATATTAAATTTTGCAAATAATACCAACATCTGGGGGCAGTTAGGTGGGGCAGTGGGTAGAGCCCTGGAATCAGGAGGACCTGAGTTCAAATCCGGCCTCAGACACAAAACATTTACTAGCTGTGTGACCCTGGACAAGTCACTTAACCCCATTGCCTAGCAAAAAAATAAAAAAAATAATACCAACATTTTCTTCTTATGTGTTCTCTTGTCAACTTCCTTCTGCTCTCTGTGAATTTTTTAATAATTTCAATAATGATCTTTTTTTTTCTTCTCTTTTTTTGGATCACTATCACTATCCTCCAGTCTCCCCTACAACTTTACTCTACAAAAATCAAGTCCACCCTTGTCATAGGTTAGTATAGTCAAGCAAAACAAATTCACACATTTCTCATATTTTAAAATATGCATATCATTCAGCACCATCACTTCTGTCTTTAACCAGAAATGGGAAGCATGCTTTACTTTCAGTCTTCTGGAGTAATGATTTTTTATTGAATTGATCAGTGTTTGTTAGTCTCTCAAAATTGTTTTCCTTTATATTATTGTAGACATTGTAAAAATTGTTCTCCTGGTTATGGTCATTTCACTCTGTATCAGTTCATAAAAGTCTTCCTAGATTTCCTTAAAATCAATCCTTTCTTCATTTATTATGGTGCAGTTATAATACATTTCATTTATATATTTGTTCAGCCATTCCCCAATTGATGGTCACATATTTGTGTCTACTTCTTTGCTGCAACAGAAAGAGCTACTATAAATATTTTTGTGTATATAGATCCTTTCCCTGTGTCTTTGTTCTTCTGTGGGGCGTATATGCTTAATCATGTTGTTTCTGGGTCAAAACATAGTC